CTTCATGTGTTTCGCCCCTCCTGAGGGCATCCTCAGGAGATGTTGACTCGACAAGCACTCGGCTTCGAATGATACGTTGCAAATCAGGGGCATTTAATGTTTTGCGGATGACAGCACGGGTGACGCCTTTTCCGCCGGCTGGGCTAACAATTCTCAGGAAAACGTCGACGAGAGTCGAAACAGGCTTGTGTCTGTAACCGAGATCTCTTTAGAGAGAATCCCAGAATGGGATTTGGAAGATGGGAAGGAATAAATTAAAACATTCGGCTTATTTAAAATCATCGGCCAGACTATCGGCAACTTTGCTTAGAGAAAATGTCAAATCATGCGAATGCGACTTTAGTTTTCATTATACTAATCCTTTAGAGATAATAAAGGTTTTTAAAGAAATCAAGGTCAAATCAACTGAGGACCTTTGGGGACTATCCGTGAAAGTCTGCGGATCACTTATCCGAACTTTAGCGCCGTATCTGGTTTTGATTTTCAATAAAAGTATAGATGACGGTGTCTTCCCAAACCTAATGAAATACAGTAAAGTTATTCCATTATTCAAAAATGGTGACACTAAGGAACCAAACAACTATAGGCCTGTGTCTGTTCTGCCGGTTCTTAACAAAGTGTTCGAAAAGTTAATGCTATCTCGGATGCTTCATCACTTTGATAAACATGCCATCTTCCATCACCAACAATACGGTTTCACTAAAGGTCGTTGTACAACTGACGCCGGTGTCACGTTGATAAAGGAAGTACTCGGTGCTTGGGAGGAAGCACAGGATGCTGTTGGTGTCTTTTGCGACCTCTCAAAAGCGTTCGATTGCGTTGATCATGAAACACTCTTGCTGAAATTAGATCATTACGGGATTAGACATACTGCACTCCGTCTACTAAAATCATATTTAGAGGATAGGCAGCTGAGAGTTCATGTAGGTGGTTATAACTCACAGGGCTCTGAGATAAGAATGGGCGTTCCACAGGGTTCAATATTGGGTCCGTTTCTCTTTTTAGTGTATGTTAATGACTTGCCATTTTTATTTAAAGCTGAGCCAAGTATGGTGCTGTTTTCTGATGATACATCATTAATTTTTAAAATAGGTCGACGTTCTAATAATTTTGACGAAGTAAACAGCTCCATTCATCAAGTTCATAATTGGTTTACAGTCAATAATTTAGCACTTAACGAGAAAAAAACAAAATGTATTAAATTTAGCTTGCCCAACGTACACAGTAATGATTGTAGCATAATTTTAAATGGGCAAAAGTTAGAATTTGTCAACGAGACAGTGTTTCTAGGTATCACACTAGACAATAGACTTCAATGGGGTTCCCACATAAAGACGCTTTCGGGGAGACTAAGCTCTGCTGTTTTTGCAGTTAGACAGATAAGACAGCTCACAGACGTGAACACAGCAAGGCTTGTCTATTTTAGCTATTTTCACAGCATTATGTCGTACGGAATTTTGCTGTGGGAGCGAGCTGCGGAAGTAGAATCAATATTTATTCTACAAAAGCGGGCTATCCGAGCGATATATAACTTGCCCCGTCGCGAATCTCTGAGAGAACTATTTAAAACGATAAATATCCTGACGGTGCCTTGTCAGTTTATATATGAAAATATTATGTATGTAAGGAAAAATTTGCAATTATTTGAAAAAAGAAGCGATAGACACAATTTTAATACTAGAGGCAAAGATAGGCTGGCTGTGCCACGATTCCGTCTGTCCAAAGTACAGAAATCCGTTATGGGGTTCTGTGTAAATTGTTACAATAAAATTCCAAGTACTGTATTGAATCTTAACGAACGAAAATTTAAAACTTATATTAAACGCTAATTGTGTAGACAGGCATACTACAAACTTTCAGATTATATTGAGGATAAGAATGCCTGGCAGCGTGTTGATTCGGCTCCACTGGACAATACTCAAATATAGTCAGCAGTTAGGTAAAATTCTCAAAAATAATGCATCCTTAATTTATATATCCAAAAAGTTTCTATAGAAGCACTCTTAAAGATTGTGAGTACGCATATGTGAGCGCCATGTTCGAGACGACAAAGGAGTAAAATTTTATGATAGGTCCCCCTCATTTGTTCTTTTTTTTTAACAACTTGTCTCTGCATTGTTCTCACATAAGGGTACACTAATGTATACTATAAATGTTATATTATTGAAATTGTAAAACAATTTTTTTTAAAAAAAAGAGTAACGATTGGAGTTTCATGCTCGTTCTTCTCCATTCGAATCTACAATTTGGAACGGCACCTAGCTTCACTGACGAACAGACTGACAGACTACTTTTCTATTTTGACGTTTCAAAAGTACCTATTTATGGTTTAGTTGGAATAAATGATTTTGACTTTGACTTTGACTTTGGGTAGACTTAATTTAGTCGAATTTAACCCCAAAAAGGCTCAGTTCTGCGTGTTCTCTGCTAAAAAACTGCCATTGGTCGTATCTCCTCAATTTCAGAGCACACTCTTAACAGTCTCGGCCGTTATTGAGATACTTGTTTTCGATATATCAAGCGAAGTCAATTCCGTGGTCATCTAGGGGGCAAGGCCAAGTTAGGGCGGATTCTGCCTGATGTTTCAGACTTGCTGTTCGTGAATGCTCCGAATGTTTCGAAGTAATTGTTCGGTTTGATCTCCACATCATCTTCTCGCCATCAACCCACGCAAAAATCCCTTTCATCCCTATCTTATAGATGGTTGGCAGACAACAACTCAGTGATTTTCGAACTTTTACCTCGTATAGCAAGCAAAACTTTAGAATGATTATTCGCCGGCGGAATTACCGAACCTATACGACCTTCAAATCTACAAGACACAAGTTTACTTCTCCCTAAAAGTCCAGCAACGCGCCACTCTGACGTTGCGGGCTGTGCTGATCATTATCAGGTCCGTCCGATCCGTCTGTTTATTTGTCACCAACGCATGAAAATATGTATATATGTGTAATATAATAGCTGAATACCTTTGGATAGTACATATTATGTGTATAATTCGAAAACAAATAATAATGTAGGTATATTGATTTATTAGATTTTGTTATAATTGTAGGTGGAAGCAGCGAGGCGGCGCGGCGACCAACATCTGCCTCGGCAGCTCCGCCGCGCTGCAGCTGCAGGCCCAGCTGCGGGACAAGCAGCGCGCCCTCGCGCTCTTCTGCGACTTCCTGCGCAGCGTGGGGCTCTGGCAGCGATTGGGCCTCGTCACCACCGGTACTTGTCTGCTGCACGGTCTACTGTGGTCTGCCCACTGCGCTTGTACATAATGGCCTCGTGTGTCCCATCCAGAGTCGGGGAGTGTCGTCAGTACGGAGAATGCGCTGGCTGAGCTCGCCGACCTGCTGAGCATGGCTATCGCACTGAGGAAGCTGCAGCAGGGCCCCGACGCGCAGCTCATCGACGCCGCTATCAATCAGGTGAGCAGGTGGCCAGGGGCGATGCGTTACTGTAAATAAGATTATAGAATGCAAATGTTAAGAAAAAAATATTAAAATGAATCCTGAATATCCCTAGATGTAGTCGATGTGTGCATGTGATCGAGCAGGCTCAGTTTTCAAAGTGGTATATTCGTAGTGAGCACATTGTAAGCATAGCGCGGCGCGGCAGGTGGTGTGCGGGGACGGGGCGCTGCAGGAGGAGCCCGAGCTGGAGGCGGCGCTGGCGGGCGGCGCGCTGGCGCCCAGCGACGTGTGCTACCGCCGCGTGACGCGCGTCGCCCGCGTGCTGCGCGCGCTGGCCCGCGCCCCGCGCCCCGCCGCGCCGCGCGCCGCCGCGCTGCACGCCGCCGCCACGCTGCGCGCGCTGCTGGCCGCGCTGGGCGCGCGCGCGCGTCGAGCCCGCCCGCCGCCCGCGCTGGGCCCGGCCGCGCTGCTGCCGGCGCTGGCGGCGCTGCCGCGGCGCGCGCTGGCGGCGGCGCGCGAGGCGGAGGACGGTGCGCTGCGCGCGGCGGTGGGCGAGGCGGCGGCGGCGCTGGCCGACGCCGTGCTGTGGGACGCGGACGCGCTGGCCGCGGACCCGGCCACGCTGCACCACTACCAGCGCCTGCGCCGGGACACCATACAGCCCTTCAGTCAGTACCTGCATGCGATGATGGCTCGCACTCATTCATTGACCGCTCGATTGACTGCTGACATAATTATTGTAACACATTGTTTTGCAGTTGACGACGGGCAGACAGAGCGCGCCGCGGCGCTCGCCGAAAAGTTCAAGGACTTCGAACTCTTGATTGAAATGTGCATTGATAACAACGATTTGGAAAGACTCTACTCCTACATCGAGAAATACTCCAATGAGGTATTTTTTGTTTTGGAGTTGTTGCTGCTTAGATCTATGAGAGATGTTTAAGTCCATTTATGAAAATGTATTACCCGTGCCAATAAAGAATGGGATTAGAAATGGTAGGTCATTGTGCTGGGAGCGTCAGCATAAAAATGCAACAACAATAAATTTAACTTAAAACTGAAAAACGTTAAAAAATATCGTTACCATTGAAAGTGTTTCGTTATTTCATTAATTGTAATAAAGCTTATGTTAGTTAAATTTGTAATCGTTAGTCAAGCTTTATTTTCAACAAAACCACAATTTGTCAACAAAACCATTATTTACTTATCTCTTATTTTTCATTCTTTATTGGCACGGGTTATACCTACATATTGTAACGTTTCATAATTTTAGTTTATTCTAATTATTAACGAATATATTGCCTAACAAAGGAATTAATCCTCAACATTCAAAATTTTACTAAAAACTGGCAGTTTTTTAATATCACTCGTGATAATGTTTGTGTATATGTACTCGTATAACGTAAATGAGTGCGTGCAGGGGTTCGCGGAGCGCGTGTTCGCGCGGCTGTGCGAGCGCGGGGGCGCGGGCCGCGCCCTGCTGCTGCGCGGGTTGGGGGCGCGCTGCGGGGGCGCGCTGGCCGCCTGGCTGGCCGCCGCGCCCCCGCGCGCCCCACTCCTGGCGCTGCAGGCGCTGGGGGCGCGCCGCCCCGCGCGCGCCGCCGCCGCGCTGCTGGCCACCGCCGACATGGAGCGAGACTCGGTGGCGCGCCTCACGGTAACACATACATACATACCCTACTGAAAATAACCCCGTGTAGGCGTGTATACATGAGGCGGGAGTAAGGTTGTTGTACTGCGCGCAGACGGCGGCGTCGCTGGGCAAGCTGTGCGCCGTGGCGGCGGAGGAGGACACGGAGTCGCTGGCGCGGCGCCTGGACGCGCGCCTGGCGCTGGCCTCGCAGCACGCCGCGCTGCCCGCCGCGCTGCGCCTGCGCCACGGCCTGGGGCCCGCCGACTGCGCCGTGCTGCCGCCCGACGACCTCGTGCAGGTACTACACACATTGTTGTACTTCAATACTGGCGCGGCGCCTGGACGCGCGCCTGGCGCTGGCCTCGCAGCACGCCGCGCTGCCCGCCGCGCTGCGCCTGCGCCACGGCCTGGGGCCCGCCGACTGCGCCGTGCTGCCGCCCGACGACCTCGTGCAGGTACTACACACATTGTTGTACTTCAATACTGGCGCGGCGCCTGGACGCGCGCCTGGCGCTGGCCTCGCAGCACGCCGCGCTGCCCGCCGCGCTGCGCCTGCGCCACGGCCTGGGGCCCGCCGACTGCGCCGTGCTGCCGCCCGACGACCTCGTGCAGGTACTACACACATTGTTGTACTTCAATACTGGCGCGGCGCCTGGACGCGCGCCTGGCGCTGGCCTCGCAGCACGCCGCGCTGCCCGCCGCGCTGCGCCTGCGCCACGGCCTGGGGCCCGCCGACTGCGCCGTGCTGCCGCCCGACGACCTCGTGCAGGTACTACACACATTGTTGTACTTCAATACTGGCGCGGCGCCTGGACGGTTTGCTAATTGTTCTTCCCAATCTAGGCATGTGTATGTGATATTGTATGTTTGTGAACGTGCCCACGACACAAGAGAAAATTTTAAAATATGTCATCTTCTTAAAAAAACTCCCACTCAAAACAATATTTTATTGAGTAGACAACACTAACGAATTATCAACTACAAAAACGTGTGAACTCATCATTTCGAATTACAGCAAGTATAAGTTTATATAATATCATATTAATGATACATCGTGTGCCCACAGATGTACATAGACTCGGAGAGTAAGGAACTCACGGAGTACGACTACAAGAAGGCGCTGGACCTCACCGACTTCGTGGAGGATATGGAGAAACGGGACGACCTCCGTCTCAGGGTACGTAAGCGAGTGCGAGTGCGGACTGATAATAATTATATGTACACACGATTTGTTTTTATGAAATAAAACGACAAATTGATCACTTAATAGTAAACAAGGTCGCCGCCCATAAACGCCTACATCACCAGAAAAGTAAGAATGTGTTCATCCCTAGTGTTGGCTATCCAGTAACCCGCGTGTGTGTGTGCGTGTGTAGGTGTGGTGTGCGTGTATCCTGGCGGACGACTGGTCGTCGGTCCGCATGGATGCGCCGGCGCAGGACCTCGCCGACAAGATGTTCTTCCGACTCATCGACCTCGTGCATCTCATGGGTGAGCATACACTTTGTTTGCTTGTTATCATTTCATACGCTATTCAATAGTATGTTTTAATTATAATATTTTAATTCATAATTAAATTACCGCCCAATGCCCGTGTATTTACATACATCCCACGTGGGTGATAAGTGCGCAAAATTGGCTACTTGACAACATTTTTAACAACTTAATTTAATACATCTACTAAAATGAATTTTTTTTCTAGTATAGGCCGTTCAATTAACTACACGTTTGTAACATTACTTTGTTGTCAGTAGTAAGTAGTAAACCAGCATTAATTAATTTCAGCGATTTTAATAATTTTGCTATCCGAAAGAAATGTTAATTGTTTTTTGTGTCTATAACTCATTCAAACTTGTATAACTTGTAAGAGGCTATATAATTATTGGAACATTTAGTTATTAAAGTGATGGATAGTGTAAACAAAAACTATTCACTGGCGGAATCTACCTAAAGAAAATTATTATTTACCATCATCATCACCTCGTACAGGTCGGTGATTACTTCCAGTAGTAAACCTAGTGATCTCTGAGACATTTTTAGATATTCGTCCGTCATAGTGATCTAAACAAATTTATGTCTATATAACTTTTTGTCATAGCTTCGGAGCTCTGCCACGTCCACTTCTGTTGAGGTTGTTTCTTAAAGAAAGAGGCTATAAAGAACAGCCACTCCTTTTACAAAAAGTAAACGAGCAATTTGTTCTCTATGATTTGTAATGGCAAATCCTCGTGGCCCTACTATACAAATGTGTGATTGAAGTGTCCGCTGAGCTAAGTAATGTTGTATAGGCGCGGACGTGTCGGTGGTGGTCCCCGCGGCGGAGGACGTGCTGACGGCGCCCGAGCTGGCCGAGCTGGCCGCCGACTCGCGCTTCCACTACCTGCTGCGGTACGGGTACCAGTGTCTGCCCACCGGTACCCACTAGCCCAGGGGGGGGGGGGCATTGTCTTCAAAGACTGACAGGTCGGATAATTAACATGTATTACAGTACGCTGAGCGTGGCAGCTCAGCAACTGTATTATAGATATATTATGTACACACACATGTTATTTATGCTGCTAAAAGTTGGTAAAGTAGTAGCGCCGTATTGCTGTTATTTTCTCCCCGATATACGGAACTTGAAGAGCATATTCCGTTTCATTTCATTTTATTTGTATACGTTTAATCATATAGTTGGCATCGATACCATAAAAATAGTGTTAGTATAATAACTAGATAAGTTAGTAATTAACATAGTACATAAGCTAATGGTTCCCACTACGGTTGGGTTATCGAACCGCGTCCGAGTGTCAGTCTCGGCTCGCGCTGGGACGCAAGCCCCGCGCGGGACGGGGCGGCCAGTCACGCAGCAACTACAATAACTCACCATTCGATGATGTACGTGCAGACTGATTTAGATTGTAACTAGGGTAAGTGTCGGAGCTTGTCTACACGTCACCGCAGGTACACTCGTCACTACTCATTGCGAAACTATTCGCTCATTTCTCTCACTTGGGCTGTGTCTTTTGGAAGCGTAATATTCAAGGAAGTACATTTAAAGTAAAGTAAAGAGCAATAGCATAAACCATGTCCCCTCGAATTAGTCATTTACACACACATGGGGCGCTGCCATTGGATTGCCCCGATAGTAGTGGTCCCGCATTATCTGTGGTTATTTGTAGATAAACTCCGAATCGAAATTTAATTTCTTTAATGTTTGCTTACTAGGAAAGTATTAACAAGTGATACAGCGCCGGGGCAAGTATTCGCTCCGGTTGAATTTATCACTTAATCTTACAAAATCAAGGGTCTATCAAATATTTCTTCCCGACACTCTAGAACATCGTGAAAAGTTTTTAGATTAATATAGATTATTGGCATTAGCAGTATGAAGTTTTTTCTCAAAAACCGGGATTGATCCAGATCCTAAACGGATCAAAATCGCTTACTATCGGCCGCAGAACAAGGTGCGAGTGTGCCGAGTATAAGTTATTCTCGCGGCAGGCGACGCCCGGTACACGGGTCCTAGAGGAGCAGACTTAGTAGCAAACTTGTTAGATAAATAAGTGGAAAATTGTAATTATTTTAAGTATTGTATACCTCCAGTCCGCCACGGACGATGCACTGATATAAACAACAGTCTGATGCCGCAAGTCTTGAGAGCAATAAAATGTTAAATTGTAAGACTGTTTCTTTTACAAATTAAAGTTTCAGCAATAGTAGGTATATTTTTTTATTGAAAGGAGGATGAAAGTATCAGTGACCGAGTGTGCAAGCGGATGGGGCACGCTCTATCATCTAAATGGCAAAAGATAATATTTAGTCTCTGTATGTAAATGTACATGTCTTAAAAAGCTTTCATGCTTCGCAGTCATTATGAAATATTTAAGTTGGTGTATTTGTAATAAACCTGTTATTGTTTAACATGTTACAATCTAATTTTGGCTTAAGTTTTAGCTCCTGTAAAGTGTAAGACTATCCCCCAGTTTCCGAAAGGCCGATCAATTTAATCTCTTGTCAAGTCATCTGATTGGTTGACTGAATTATCAACAACCAATCAGATGACTTGACAAGAGATTTAACAGCAGATTAGTTAATTTTAGCGTTGACAAGCCTTTCAGAAACCAGGTGTATTATTTAAGTAGGAATCTATTCATTTGTAATTAATCATTGTTATGTTAAAATTATCATTATTATTGTTGGTGTGATTTTGATTTCAATTAAATTTTATGAAGAAAATATTATGTTGCGTATCATTTTCCCGCCTCCCGACGGAACCGCGACCGTCAGCAGTAAGTAGTAGAGCGGCGGCCAGTATGCGGCGAGCGCTGGGCGCGGCGCATGCGCGGGCCGGCGCGCGCCACTACACGCGGCCAGTGTCACACTACACGGCGCCAGTACGCGACGCCGGGACGCCGGAACAACAGACACTCGAGTTTGGGTCCAAACACTGTTTCTAACTAATAGTGCGTGTGACAGATCCCATTGGAAACTAAGTGCTCCGTGCTGTAAAACGTCTAAAGGCGTCTTATTTATGGTGCTGTCTGCTGTACCGGCTGAAACTTGTAAGTTGTATCATATAAATCGGCGAAAATATACAAATCGTAATTAAAAAGTTTAGCTAAGTCTAGCTTATAATAGAATTGATAGTTGACTGACTTTGTGTAATCTATAATAATTGCTAGGATCGTAACTTACTTTCATAATATTCCTCCTTAAACTATTAACGTAATCCGAGAACTAGCATTCATAATATTTACGTCAGCTGACTTACCGAATTTTACTTTTTCAAGTTGTGACAAGCAAACGAACTGATTCCATGAAAATTTTCAAAATGTATGATGTCAACACGGCCACTGGAACTGTGAGCTTTTCAAACCCTAATTTGGAAATCTGCTTGTATCTTGACTAAAAAAATTGCATATGTACGCTTCACTTATATGCTCGTATTTATACTTAAAATAAGTATCTACTTAGCTACATAACTGGGACACAGCTTGACGATATTCCTATTCGTTTGTGTGCCGTATTTATAGCGAGTAAGGGTGAGCTCTGATCGCATGTCGTTGTTAATTTAACAGTAACTAAACTATACCTAGTTCCCAGTTAATCAAGTCACTCGTACAGTTCCAATTCGTGCATCTGGACACTTATATACTGTATGCTACTTGCACATTGCACAGTGCATATTAATACGATTCCCAAGAGTCCTTTTATATATCCTTAATAAAGTAGGTCAGTAATATTATTTTTTATATCATATCACAAAAAATAAAAAAGTCTTCAAATTGTATTTCAATTGATTAGAACAACAAGCGCGTCACTCGATGACACCGATAAGGTTTATTCTATTAAACTATTCAGTTTGATTTGTATTTTGTAAAACAGGAAGGCAACAGGTTCAAAAGGTTATCTTCCTAAATCTTTAGAACTGAACTACCTAGGTACAGGTAGCTTCTATTTTCTATTAAATCATTTGACATCAATTTCACAGAGAGCCGCGGTCATCATCCGCTTGATCAGCGATGACTGTTTAGATTATCGTCACGCTATCCGCTGCTCGCCATTACAGGCTGCTGCCTTGAAGTGACCTCACTCACTATTTCATATTTTATCTGATTCCGGCACGAACCACCCTGCCTAGACTTTCCACGAAATACTTATTAAGTAAGTAACATTAAACATTTCTCGAGAGCAGACTGATAGTCACTTTATACTTTTATTTTAAGTAGAGGAGTGGTTGCCAAGGCAGCAAAACATTAGTCTACAAATCAAATGTCTTTAATTACCTAGTCGTAATACGAATAAGAATTAAGCCCTTATTTCACGCATATCCTTGGCGTTGTTATCAAAACATCAGGGTACCCGGTACCTACATCCTGTAGGGGTTAAGTTTTCAACCTTAATCGAAAACCGCACAACTGTTGCACGACAGTAACTAATTAATTTACATTCCGCTTACATTAATTAACGACGACAAAATACTTAGGTACATTCAAAAACAGTCGTTATCTACTCATTTCGATAATTCATTTGAACTTCACGAATTTGCAATTACATTGTTATAGCATAGCTAATAAAGTAAAAGTTACCTGGCTGAGTTGATAAATTTTAATGGACTTGCATAAACTCCTTACGTAGTTGATGTTGCGCACAATGTTAGGGCGCCAGTAGTCTGCCCGTGACGTCACCGGACTTGCTGCACACGTCAGATGCTCGCGGGGACGTAGCAACCCTCGAGCTGCACGGTGATGTCAAATCGTATCATAGATACTTCGAGTAAGAATAATACATAGGTACCTAAACAGTTGGTTTTTTCTAAAAATGACTGAAATTGCGCAAAGCATTGAATTCTGCCTGGTGTAGGTGTGGCACCAGGCTCGTTCTCTTTTATGTACTACGCATAGCAGTAAGTGGTGTGTGCATAATATAGGTAAAATAAGTCCTTCTTCGGAACAGACCTTACAAGTTTATGTAGGTAAATTGCTAATCTATCTGCTTAGATCGGGAAAACAATGATTGATTCGATTTTATCAATTCACTATCGACTAATAACAATGATTTCAATCGTACGAAGCTTCGTTGGGTGGCGCTGTTACTTAGACCTAGATACCAATTAAGTAGCAACAATAGCGCAGTGTGTCATTCGGTGTTCGTGAGAAAGTTGTCCGCTCGGCTACGGAGTGACTGAGTGACTCGTGTCCGTTACCCAGGCCAGATGTTGTCGACAATGGTCATTTGAATCTTATAGATAATTAGTTGTGGGGCTTCTGTAATTGTTGCGCACATTTTTAAATTTGTTGCGCTTATAGTTTTTTAATTATTTCACAAAAACATTTCCTGCTGGCGTAACGTTACCACAGCCAGACCTTTTTCTTTCTAATGGGAATATTTAAATAAATATTAATTATAAAATTAGTTGTCTAGATAAAGTAAATGTTGTGCCTTATTTTGTATTTGTTCTTTCTTCGGTTGCGAAGTTATTCGAGATTTTGCTGCGGTAACGTTTTTGGTTTTGCTGGATCTTTGAAATGGTTAAGCGGATTCTTATCATATTTTGTACACGACTTCCAAAGACTTAGTTTAAATTTGTTGTGCAATAACAAAACCAAAATAATGCATATTTTAAAGGTTTTTTCATTAAATAGAAAAACACTTCAATTGGCCCCAGCACTCTCAATAAGAAGTCTAAAGACTTACTTTAAACGTAATTTTAAAGCTTGTAACTGCCTTCAAATGTATGTGAAGTTTCATTAGTATCCTGTAAGTATTTAACAAGTTATGATGATATTCAGTTCTTCACGAGCACGGTCATAATGCACGCGGTGTTATTTGGCCACTGGATTGGATATATGAACTGAATGTTATGTCAATAATTAGTTGTTTAGATCAGTTGTATATCAGTAAAATTTCAGCTCAATACATTGGATAATTAATGAGATAATACTATGAAAGTCATTAGGAAGTGAATGACCGTGGTAAGCCGACCAAGTTTAGGTGGTTACGAAAAAGCGAAAACGCAGAACATTGTACTATCTTTTGAAATGTTTAGTATAATACACCTTACAATTTTGGTACAGACGCGTACACTGTTTAATACCTATATAATAATAATATAAAAGAAAACATTATTCTTCCAGTTCCACAAAATTATCAAAAATCACCGCTAGAGCATGCCGTTCGGTAGGACGCAGGAAGAGTGGGGTGAAGGGGTAATACATTGTTTGCATAACGCACTCAGTCTTGCCAGAAGGTTAATTTTGTAACCTTTTAGATGATTTTTGAACTGCATTTTGAAATAGAAATGACAAGGACGGGTGATGTTTAATCGGTTGCTAAGCAACACAAGTTTTTATAAGTAAGGGAGTAAAAGTTCAATTGAAATGATTATTTTACCTTTTAATAAAAAATCTTGAATAATCATGTAGTTTATTTTAAAACTTTTGTACATGTCTGTACTAAATTTATAACACTATCCTACATATTTTAGAAGGTACCATAATGTTCTGCGTTTTCGCTTTTTCGTAACCACCTAAACTTGGTCGGCTTACCACGGTCATTCATTTCGTAATGACTTTAATAGTATTATCTCATTAATTATCTAATGTATTGAGCTGAAATTTTACTGATATACAACTGATCTAAACAACTAATCATTGACATAATATTCAGTTCATATATCCAAGCCAGTGGCCAAATAACACCGCGTGCATTAAGACCGTGCTCGTGATGAACTGAATATCATCATAACTTGTTAAATACTTACGGGATACTAATGAAACTTCACATACATTTGAAGGCAGTTACAAGCTTTAAAATTACGTTTGAAGTAAGTCTTTCGACTTCTTATTGGCAGTGCTGGGGCCAATTGAAGTGTTTTTCTATTTAATGAAAAAACCTTTAAAATATGCATTATTTTGGTTTTGTTATTGCACAACAAATTGAAACTAAGTCCTCGGAAGTCGTGTACAAAATATGATAAGAATCCGCTTAACCATTTCAAAAATCTAGCAAAACCAAAAACGTTACCGCAGCAAAATCTTGAATAACTTCGCAACCGAAGAAAGAACAAATACAAAATAAGGCACAACCAATGGCACAACATTTACTTTATCTAGACAACTAATTTTATAGCTAATATTTATTTAAATATTCCCATTAGAAAGAAAAAGGTCTGGCTGTGGTAACGTTACGCCAGCAGGAAATGTTTTTGTGAAATAATTAAAAAACTATAAGCGCAACAAATTTAAAAATTTGCGCAACAATTACAGAAGCCCCACAACTAATTATCTATAAGATTCAAATGGCCATTGTCGACAACATCTGGCCTGGGTAACGGACACGAGTGACTCGGCACTCGCAGGCACACTCTGCAGTTACTGTGTTACGCCGGTTACGCGACAACTCAAACGTTAGTTTTTCTTCGCCTATTGTGTGCTAATTAGGCGGCGTCTCGAGTCTACCATCATTTTGTTAGCTAGAAACATATTATCGCACCTGTCAAATCCTGCAGGAATAT